TAGTTTTATTATATATATATATGTTTTTTTATTTTTTTTCTTATTTCATAATATAATATTAATTATTCTTAAAATCCTTATCAAAGCTAATTTGCCATACAACACAAAGAGTGAAGAATTGTCTAAACATTTTGAGTCCGCAGGTATGCATAGTATATACAACTATTTAGAGGTCGGATCTATGAATATTCACAGTTAGAAATGGATATTCATTGAATATCCAATATTTGGTTACTCAAAATTCACGGATAGTCAAGGGTTTGTAATTTATAATTGATTCGTTTATATTCGTGAATATTTGCGTGAATATTCGTGTTACAAATAATAGAACGGGTATTCATTTAAAATCCAGATATTCGTTCAATGCTATTCTGAACATCAAAACCCGTGAATATTTACTGAGTAGCCATGACGGATATTCAAAGGATCCAACCTCTACAACTATTTATAATTTCATTTAAATTACTAAATTTGAATTCATATATAATTAGGTGTTCCTATATCAATTCGTTTGATTACTGATAAAGTTACAAAAAAACAAAAAGGATTTGCTTTTATTGAATTCGATAATTCACAATCTATGAAAAAAGCTTTGATATTTCAGCATACAATTTTCAAAAACAGACAGGTATAAATATTTGGGATATCAATTCTTTGATCAGTAACTTGCTGAGTAAGACTGATCTTAGGAACAGACGTAACACTTTGTTCTTCATTAGTCTTGTAAGATCTGAAAATTAGAGGACTACTTAGTTGGTCAGTTAAGCTATTTGCAATTTCTATTACTTTCTCTTTTTGGATTTCAGCCAACGTTGGTAGTTGCGTTTTACAATTTAGACATATTTTTTTTCGATTTTCGATGTTTTGCATATTGCAACTAAGACATGTTTTCATCTTGGCTGTATTGGTCGAAGTAGATGCTACAAAAGAATCAATAGCGTTGGTAGATGATAATTTTCCTTCTGACAATAATTCTAGAATCCCAGAAAGATAAGAATGTAACTCCTCGTCGATGACTTCCTGCATCTGGGTATCGACACTAAAAATTTCATCAAACTGTGATTTACTAAGAGAATCATATGCCTAAGGTGAATTAGTATATTGAATCTTGTTTTCTAATGACATATTAAAAGCAACAAAACTAGTTACTATATGGTAAGTAACCATATTAAACCCTCGATCTAAATAATTCTTCTGTCCTTTTTGCTCATTGTCAAATGCGAGAAATAAAAGACCTTCAGGTAACGGCTCCTCTTGC